TCAAACTCACATTCCCCATACATTAACTCTTCTTAGGCAGCATACTCTCAAATTCTCCAGCTTCATTCATTTCCTTAACAATGTCCAATCCTCCAATCAGTTCTCCATTTATATACAATTGTGGATAAGTTGGCCAATTACTAAATTTCTTTAATCCCTCTCTAACATCATTATCTTGGAGAATATCGAATGACTGATAATCAGCATTACAAGAATCGAGGATGGAGACTATTGTTCTAGAGAATCCACAACGTGGATTTGCAGGATTTCCTTTCATAAATAACATACAGGGTGCTTGGTTTGTTAATTTTTTTAGCCTATCTTCAAGATTCTGTTGTGGTTTCCATGCTTCCAGTGGAATTGACTCTTTGCTAACAGAATGTCGTTTTATTTTCTCCGCAATGGCAGAGGGATTGGCTCCATCAACTCTGTCAACTATGGTTTCATTTTTGGCCAGAATTACTGTTGGCACTGCTGTAATGCCAGCCTTTAAAGACACATCAGGTACTTTCTCAGCTTCAATCTTGGCAAATTTGACCCCTTTGTATTCAGACAGTTTACTCATTTCACTGATTACATCATTTATTTGAGAACATTGATCAGCCCATGGTGCATGAAAATGAATAACAGACAGATCCTTTGATCTAGAAAAAAAGAAATTCTATTATTGCAGATAATCAAATCTTCAACATGTAGCTTTCATATTTATATATATATGTTTTCTAAATCAACTTTAAGCAATATAAATTTCTGTAAATATTTGTGATCCCAGATAACATAATCTTTGTTTAATAGGTCATTATAGAATCATGGAACTAAATGAACTGTCATTGCATCATTTGGAGAAACTGTCTCAGTCGTAAGACTTACTATTTTATCACAAAACTATATCGCTAAAAACTCGTGACTTTCGAACTACATATAAGGAATTTCCGTCCTAATTAAAAGATAAAGAGTTGTGTCTATTAACGTGAATTTAAAAAATACCACTATTATGTAAGCGCTTTAATAATGAATAATACTATTTCAAATCAATAGTTTCAGTATATTAAAAATCTTCAAATAAAAATACGTTTGCGGTATGTCAAGAAGGAAGATGAGGTTAAGTTACATATTTCACATTAAATACTTGAAGTAAGGTTACTCACTTAACGTAATCTTCATATTCTTGTTGGGAATTAAGTTCGGTGACAGTCATTCTGTCACTAATTTACTTTCTTTCTTTTATAACAGAATACTCGTTATAAGTAATGAAATAAACTACGTCCAACTGAACTCAACACTACGGCTTCTACGCTGGTCTACGCGATTTCTAATATTACTATCATGGAGGTTTTCCTTTAATTTAGCAACCTACTGCTTCTGCGCAGAAGTTTGTTAATCTTTCTTCAGCAAGAAATTTCTGTACATACATATCAGTATTTATAATTGAGTAATCATCGTTTTCCTATTAGACGTCAATAGGGTATATTGAAAAATAAATACTATCTGTATTGTAATACAGATACACCGAAAATCTGTAATATAAAGTGAATGTTTGCGACTTTCCCGCCTTTAGTTTAAAAATGACTAACTTACAGCTTACATTTAAAAAAAGCTTTGGTAATATCTTATTCAAAATAAACAATTATTTAACGCAAATGAANTCAAACTCACATTCCCCATACATTAACTCTTCTTAGGCAGCATACTCTCAAATTCTCCAGCTTCATTCATTTCCTTAACAATGTCCAATCCTCCAATCAGTTCTCCATTTATATACAATTGTGGATAAGTTGGCCAATTACTAAATTTCTTTAATCCCTCTCTAACATCATTATCTTGGAGAATATCGAATGACTGATAATCAGCATTACAAGAATCGAGGATGGAGACTATTGTTCTAGAGAATCCACAACGTGGATTTGCAGGATTTCCTTTCATAAATAACATACAGGGTGCTTGGTTTGTTAATTTTTTTAGCCTATCTTCAAGATTCTGTTGTGGTTTCCATGCTTCCAGTGGAATTGACTCTTTGCTAACAGAATGTCGTTTTATTTTCTCCGCAATGGCAGAGGGATTGGCTCCATCAACTCTGTCAACTATGGTTTCATTTTTGGCCAGAATTACTGTTGGCACTGCTGTAATGCCAGCCTTTAAAGACACATCAGGTACTTTCTCAGCTTCAATCTTGGCAAATTTGACCCCTTTGTATTCAGACAGTTTACTCATTTCACTGATTACATCATTTATTTGAGAACATTGATCAGCCCATGGTGCATGAAAATGAATAACAGACAGATCCTTTGATCTAGAAAAAAAGAAATTCTATTATTGCAGATAATCAAATCTTCAACATGTAGCTTTCATATTTATATATATATGTTTTCTAAATCAACTTTAAGCAATATAAATTTCTGTAAATATTTGTGATCCCAGATAACATAATCTTTGTTTAATAGGTCATTATAGAATCATGGAACTAAATGAACTGTCATTGCATCATTTGGAGAAACTGTCTCAGTCGTAAGACTTACTATTTTATCACAAAACTATATCGCTAAAAACTCGTGACTTTCGAACTACATATAAGGAATTTCCGTCCTAATTAAAAGATAAAGAGTTGTGTCTATTAACGTGAATTTAAAAAATACCACTATTATGTAAGCGCTTTAATAATGAATAATACTATTTCAAATCAATAGTTTCAGTATATTAAAAATCTTCAAATAAAAATACGTTTGCGGTATGTCAAGAAGGAAGATGAGGTTAAGTTACATATTTCACATTAAATACTTGAAGTAAGGTTACTCACTTAACGTAATCTTCATATTCTTGTTGGGAATTAAGTTCGGTGACAGTCATTCTGTCACTAATTTACTTTCTTTCTTTTATAACAGAATACTCGTTATAAGTAATGAAATAAACTACGTCCAACTGAACTCAACACTACGGCTTCTACGCTGGTCTACGCGATTTCTAATATTACTATCATGGAGGTTTTCCTTTAATTTAGCAACCTACTGCTTCTGCGCAGAAGTTTGTTAATCTTTCTTCAGCAAGAAATTTCTGTACATACATATCAGTATTTATAATTGAGTAATCATCGTTTTCCTATTAGACGTCAATAGGGTATATTGAAAAATAAATACTATCTGTATTGTAATACAGATACACCGAAAATCTGTAATATAAAGTGAATGTTTGCGACTTTCCCGCCTTTAGTTTAAAAATGACTAACTTACAGCTTACATTTAAAAAAAGCTTTGGTAATATCTTATTCAAAATAAACAATTATTTAACGCAAATGAATATCGATTGCAAAATTTGAAAAATTATATGAGTTATACAAGAAGTAGTTGCTTTTATCAGAGAATATAGGAGAGTGGTCACGTCTGAATTGTCTAGTTTTGTTGTAAAAATCAAGATAGATTCAATTATTATTACCCATTGTACAAGCGAACGAAAACCAAGGTGATCAAGGAATCTTGTAGGCACTTTCTATACCACAGAATTCATTACGCAATTCCCAATTTCTTCGCTTCATTTATTCTCATTCCCCCTGTTTTTCAATGTCACTTCAGGGGCTAACTTTCCAGCTGACCATCGTCCATGAGAAGAGGTCGCCCTATCTCGCAGTCGGTAAGTCAGACAATTTTATTGGCAATTTCAGTTTAAGTATTCCAATTTAAATCTACTCTCATATCTCCTTTGTATCATGATGCAAAATATGAAATAAATCTGATAAATTGAAGCAAAATTTAATCTTCAATTGCAAGACATGACAACTCTAGTCATTATCCTATGACGTATGGGCCTATCATTTCACTCCTATTACTTCAGAGTTTAGAAATTGACAAAGCGTGGGCATGCCTACGAACGTATTTCAGTGGTGTTCTATAGGAAAACAGATCACAGTCAATGTGGTTTGAACAAAATGAATCATCATAAGACGTTGAGGATTGAAAGAAGCCTCGGGCTGGCTGGGAATTCCGTGTGGTAAAACAGGTGCACCATAAGAAAGTGACCAATGGCAGCAAGGCCGTGTCGCAGCACGGTCGTCATTGTACGTCATCACTCGAGGGGGGAAGGAAGGAAAATACGAAGCAACTGAGGGCTGTCAAGACACCTCGCCCACAAAAAGCAGATGCAGATGCGACCGGGCGGTGAACACGTGCGACGTTTTTTTTGTGACGATCTCGCGTACTCGCGGGTGCAATGTTCAAAATGATGTCGCGAACCGACGCCCTAGAGGAGATATCCACTTGGACAAATAATGACGTGTTGTGTTTGCTGCAGAGGGTGAGTAAACTGCCGACGACGATGTTGAATCACGAACGGTGAATTCTTCTGCGTCGCGATCCTGGACGTACAGACATTCGAACCCGATTGGGTTCTCGGGAATTTAATTGATCTCTATCTGGGCTCCATCTATCAACAACTAATACACACTTTTCTCAGATTGAATGAAAATTTGTAAATTGGAGCCATGTGCATTCCTTTGTGCAGGTATTTTAGCAGATCACAATACGTTTTTGATTGTAAAAACAGTGATCAACAATGTTGTTATAATTATGATACAGCGATGCTTCTGAATTTATTACTGAGTGGTCGTCAAACAGAAGTGTCGATGGCCTCGCTAGCTTTATCAGTCTCATGTACAAATAGAGATTCACGTGTTCATTTTTAACTGCACGCGACGAATCATATGGCTCATTTGATGTAGTCTCTGAGATTATGGCATTGCGAAGATATTACGTCCTTTAAGACACGCTTTTCGTACAATTTCGAGCATTCTTCTAATTTTGTAATCTAAGATTTTTTAATTTGAACAACGGCAGATGGCATACTTCAACGGTGATTGAAATGTTTACTTTATCAACCGAGTAGAAGAAAATTTTGAATTACGAAATTTGAAGAATTGGAGTTTCGAGTTTACGAATAATTAGAAATGTATTTGTTAGCAGAGTTGGATAAATATTGAACTAGGTCTGAGTTATTTTGGCAACTAAAATTTATTAAAAATTCATATTTATTGTAACAAGAAATTCAAGATTTTATATATATTTAAAATATTTGTATATTGTAACTTCATTTTTTGTCAACCATCAAATATCAATGCTTGATAAAGGCACGCCTGCAAAACGTTTCGAAATGATATCACTATAGTGTCATAGTCTGCATCCTGTTTGATTATTCGAGCATCCTCATTTTACAGAATGGTCTGGAAGAATGTTGCAGGACGATAACGAAACGGCAGATTCGCGGCTACGAATTATTGGTAAGTCGACTGGAAGGATTTTCTTTTCAACCGAAGATGACTATCTTTCTATCTCGTGCTTACGACAATTATGATGTATTATCTTTCAAATGATTGTAAAAGTAAAATAGAACAATTCAATACGAGCAAGTTCTCTATACCGCGAGTTAGAAATGTTGCACTTTATCTGCAATAATTACCACTTGTTCGAATAAAATTTCACTCATCGTTGCCCGAGGCATAATCACCCAAGTGACTTTCTTCTTTTCGCGGTTCGCCGAGTAACATTCACGATATATGTACATGGAGTCTGTTGACATCACGTGCTATGTGGAACATTGTAAACCGCGACTGATAAAATCTCGTTACCGTAGATTAACTACGGATCTTTGAAACACTCGGCTTAACGTGTGGGAAAAAGATTTTCACTTGACTGAAAACCGAAACTTCTTTTCCTCGAAATAAAATCGCAAACCCTGATAAGAGAAAAGTTGTCGCGTTGCTTAGCTTTATTTCATTTCTTTATGTTTAAATAGTTGTTCAGTGCTGCACGGCGGCAAAGAAATGGACTGCAGGGTTTTATCAAAAAGAGTTTTTATCGACTAACAAACAGTGGCTGAATAGAAATGTATGTATGTTTTAACAGGCTTGTGAAGTTGAAAATAATGAAACGATAGTTACAAGAGCCTGAAGATACCGTTTCAAAATGTTAAAGAAAATGAGTTATTCGAGACGATGTCTTCGAGTATGCGAGTTAGCTGGCACTCGAGTTTCATTCATAGCAGTCTAGCTCGTATTTCGGGCTGGCTGGCGCGTGCTCTCTATTCTCCCCTTAATTAATTGTAATTATTCCAGCACTTGACGGAAGGGAAGCTGACTCTGTGGAAGAGTGACCTCACACCTCCATTAAAATGGTAAGAGAAACGCCATAGGAACGCCGTAGCCGATTTTCCTCATAAATAGTACGGGCTTGTTCCCATCAAATAGGATTACGAGGTCGGTGTCACGGTCTAACGGTTCCTCTCCACACTGGTGAAGAATCTTTTCGAGACACGCCTTCAGATTCCATCTCAATTCATGCAATTATATGCTTGTTCGTATCGAAATACGTTCGAGGTTCAATGTTTTCTCGAATGATGATTGAACGCGGCTCATAACCGGATTATTTTAATTGTCCGGTTGGCCGAAATATTCTCTCGATGCTTTTCCTAATATAATAGCAGTGGTAATGTGTCATAAACAATTATAAATTAATAAATGCACCGAGGCGTGATTGAGAGTTGTCAAACAACCTGGAATACGCTTCATAATCCTTAATTTTATAAAAATGTAACTAAAGTATTAACAAAAATATTATTATCAGAGAAATATCATTTCAATATCTTTGTATTTGTTAAATATTCTAGCTGTAATAATTGTCATAGTGTTAATATTTCGTGACTAATGTGATCCAGGAATCTTCTTCCTAATCTTTCTACGATTAATTATTAGCATTATTATATTGCAAAGTAAAAGTTATATGATTGCAAAAACTAAGAGTCAAATAAAAATTTGTTTCTGCTTTCTGATTTTATCGGAATTTCTCATACAGCGTCGCAAGCATCGTGGTAGTAAAGACAGCGTTCGATTGTCCAAGAAAAGTTTGGCGAACGATGCCCGTAGAAAGCATCAGGTTACGCAGCACGCATACAGAATCCGATGACTCGAATAAAATCGAAATGCACGATGGTTGCGATTCCTACAGATTTTCCATTTGTTTGACGACCTCGAGTTTCGCCAGAAGAGCGTAATATTATCGTGTGGGACGCGTCCGATCATTCAATATCACGCGGACGTTACGAAATTTATCGTCTTCGTTTAATTAAGGAAATTCCACTTGACAATAACACGGGGCTCCCGGCTAGCACATTTGCATCTGTTGCTCGAAACCGTCGAGGGCACGCGCGCGCATTCGACAATTTAGGTCATCGAACCTCGTTGCAAAGCATTTTCCCGCGATTCTACCATTTATTGCATCGCCGGTCGCTTTAATACTAGCCGGCTGGTGAAATCTACTACTTTTGAAATAAAATGATCTCAGACCGTGTTTAAAAAAGGCTGAGTGAAAGTAGACTCCCCGTAGATTTACTCACTCAGTGATCGTTCATTCATGGTGCCGACCATTATCACGCTAGATAATTTCTGAGTAGATTTAGTAGATAGACATAGTGAATCTTCATTAGGGTTTCACAGTTGATCGAATGTCTTTCTGTTTCATTAACGTCTTTACCAAAGATTGGTTTTCTGATTCCAGGAGTCTCTGGAACTTCATTGAAGAGGTAAGAAGAATACCAGAGAAGTTCGTCATGGAAAAGCTGGATTCGCAGATGTATGATTCCACGAGCGATTCAGAGCCTTGGACAGACTTCGAAGACGAGGGTAATGAAGACAGTCCTTCATTACCAGAAACTCAGGAAGGACAATCTAATCCTGGAAAGAGAAGTGACCAAAAAACCTTGCAGAATAGTACTACAAAGAAACCGATGGATGGAGGTATGGTCGGTATATCCAGTCCGAAAGAGGAAGAGCAAGGAACTTACGCAAATTGTGTCGCGAATTACCAAGAGCCGCGGAGCCTGGCAACGAAGAATGTATCGAAATTGCATAACCAGGCGGAGAAGTCCTTGGCCGAACAGCTGAAGGAGCAGTTGAAGCTGATGAACATTAAGACTAATACAACAACAGATCCCAAACATGACTCATTACAGATTAGGAAGACCGACGCGAAGCCGGTAGATCGCAGCCAACCGCAGAAATCGTTTCTGTACAATGCTCTGAAACCAACACCACCACCAAAACAGATACCGCAACCGAAATCGACACCACAACCAAAATCTATACTGCAACCGAAACCGCCACCGAAACCAAATGTTCCTAATCAAACACAAAGTTAGTATAATATTTATAGGATCACTACTTTGTTTAAGGACATTTTTTTAAATGATTCTGATTTTAGGGAGGATGGCAGTGCCCCCACCGCCAGAGCCTAAAAAGGCCAAGGGTCCACCTATGATAATGGAGAAGCCAAACAAGGACCTAGCGAAGCCTTCAATGATCCCGAAGAATCTTGACCTTGTTGCTAATTTACCCGCGCAAACTGAAGAAAGCGAAGACGAGTACGAGGCATTCGACGAGGAAATCATCGAGCAGAATCAAAAGAAAAATATGTTTAGGGTGGACAGTAAACAGTCGTTAACAAGTGGCAATCAGAGTTCTGTGGAAAGTGTTTATCAGCCGCCTAGCATCACTAGCTTCGACGAGGAAGAAGAATATCCGTATAAAATTTATGAATCGATTACTGAAGCGGTAAGCTGTTAAATATACTGCTTATATACAGTTGCACCGATGAGAAGTTAATGAAATTATTGTGATCATTTTAGTCGGACGATAATTGTTATTACTTAAGCCCTATTCAGATGACACAGAATTCGATTGCACCTCCGCCGTTGCCTATAAAGCCATCACATTCTTCCGCTAGTTCTTCTCCAACATCGAGTCGGACGAGCTTGGAAAGATCTAATGGTTGGTATCACAACACTGGAAATAATTAATACAATAATTTGTACTTTCAGGAGTTAGATCGTCAAGAACAGGAACTCAGCAGATATTTAATTTGCTACTCCATTCAAGAAGTATTTCATCAAAATTATGGATATGATTGTTCAAAGAATTATTTGAACGTTTATTAAACAATTGCATAAAGCCAATCAATTAAGTCCCCAAGCACGAGAACTACGATAACTAAGCTGTAAAAAGATATCGGTGCATAAAAAGGTAGAATATATTTATTAATACATAGCACGCAATTAAAATATAGTAAAACCTCGATTATCCGCTCCGCCAGTATCAGAATTATCTATTATCCAAATACATCTTCAATCAACTCAATCTAAGGCAATCCATATAAATAACTAAATAACAGTTCTATTATCTGAAAATTTGTGTCACTACATATTTAATCCGGATAATCCAGGTTCCAGTGTATTACTTTTTCAACTGAATTGATTGGCTTCTGAGCTCTCCATGTAATGAATAAATATGAGCACGATACGCGGAATAGAAGAAAATTCGGAAACAAGTGGTTCCCATGATATAATAAAATAGTTACGTCAATGAGGGAATGATCGTAAAAAAGAAATTAGTCAGTTGCTGTTGGGCAGGAGACGCAGCCTGTTAAGGGCTAGTAAAAAACCATAGACAGGGTGGCGATTAAAGAAATAAAAAGTCAGATGGCCAACTTCCCATAAGCATCTGTTCGACAAATGGTGCTTGTACAACCTGCTGCGCGATGCAATTGCAACCAGTTATGAACCAGCTATCGCGCCCTTTATTTCGAATCGTCCGAAGTACGATAAATGAAATGTTTGCAATATTGTTAAAATGTATTAACACTCTTTGATATCGTTAAAATTCTGTGGCTAAATGTGTTCAACATGCCCAACAATAAAGACAAGTGGACCAGTCTAAAGTCATCGATTAAGCTTAAGCAGGAAGCCATTAAGGAATTTTAAAAAGGAACAAACGGGAATGACTTTATCGTGATTGTATCGTCGCAAAAACTGAAGCAGAAACAGTGTGATGGAATGTGCTCCTGCTTCTATCTGAGGCTGAGCAAACAGCTCGTGGGAGGTCTAGGTGCTCGTTTGGCAGACGAAGTGTCAGATATGATAGTGAGAATCAAAAGGGGGCTTTCTACGTGTTGTTACTCACATCCGCCCGAGCCGCCAGGTATCAGAACTTAATACAAGCACCTGCTCCAAAGATACGATCGTAAACTTATTCTTTACAATTCGTAGTATGATGTAACATACAAAAATTATTAAGGATATTTTTTTAGCAAAATTTTAAATACGGCACTTTTTCTTCATTTCCCCGCATTAGATCAGCCCTGTGAGATATTCAAATTTAGAGATTTCAAGGTAAACGTCCGTTCTCCATTCCTTCCAAAATTGGAAATTCGGACCGTGTCCCGACAACTCAAAAGTATGCACACCTGGGAGAGTACAATTTTAACTTCGAAATTTACCACATGCTGAGGGACCAACGGACGGCTAGTCTTTCCGATCTAACTGGATCCCTAAGTTAAACGTCAGTGGGTGCAGTGATTTAGTCGGAGTCGGTTCATTTGCGGTCATTCCCTTAATACTTATGGAACGTTGCGTCTCCTATTGTTTAGTTCAAAGATCCGTTTAAGGACTTCGAAACTTGAAACGTTAAGTCTACAATTATTAAATGTTGACAAACGAAATAACGGAGTGAACTTTCAACTGTTGCACTTATTTCCAACTATTGAGAAGTTTCAATTAAAGTATCGTGATTCTTGAAGAACCAGTGTAGTTTATTTGCAATTAGCAAACCTAATGTCTTCGCTCAGTTTGTGGGAAACATGTAAAGACAGTACCTCGGCCCATCTGTGAAATTAAACGCGTGACTCGGTCGAAATTATTTTGGATCAGTGTGAAGGATTTTACAAAAAGTAACTATCCGAAAATGGCAACTATTATTGGTGATCCAAAACGAAACGTGTCCTTGAATACTGCGACACGCCGGCAAGCTAGCCTTTCGGATTGTCTCACCCAAGCTACTCTCACCCAAGCTCGACTCAATCTAGCAAGTCAGTTTCTCTATATTGTAACTTAAACTGAATACCATTCTTCTGTAATTGCGTCCAAAATTTTTTGTTCAATTTTTAAGACGAATAGAGATTTGAATGTTAGGGAGTAAATCCCTATCTTCCCAATTTTCTGTTCCGTGAAACTCTCCTTGAACGAACTGATTACTGCCTTCTGATTGTACACATTTTTTTTATTGTGGACGTGTAATGCTTATTTTGTTGGTTACAGAACGCTCTCCTGATAAAAAATCAGCAACGCTACCACACTCGAACAGTTATACCTCGTTATCATCTGACAGAGCCACCCGACCACTGCCACCACCTCCTGAGAAACACTTCTATTTCGACAAGCCGTGGTTCCACAATATTACGAGAGACCAGGCGATTGCTCTCATTACAGAACGTAGGTGGCCCCTAAATGTCCCTGTATTAAGTTAAAAAGGGTTTAATTACCGTTAAAAATGGTTTAATTAATTCTCGGATGATGATACCTAAGTACATTTTGAATCACCATTTTAAAGGATATTGAAGGAGTTGTTAATCATATTTTTATATTGATTAGAAAATACTTACGGAAACCCGCAAGATGGATACTTCCTCCTGAGACCATCAACAACAAACGTAAACAACCCCTTGGCTTTGGTCCTTTGGTACAAAGACAGGGTTTACAACGTTCCGGTCAGGAAAAGGCCAGACAACAGGTAAAAATGATTCATTAGTCTTGAATTCAACAAACATCCTCAGCCCGTATTTATATATCGGTATCAAGCACGGGTCTCTGCAAGAATATAATAAGAATGTCGTTATTCAGAATCTCTTTGGATAATTATAAAAATATTATGGATGAACTATGAGAGTCTATTTTACTGAATGTCCGAGAAAATTTTAAAGACATAAGCACTAAAAAGTGGCACAGCTGAACTAGTTGTAAATATGCCTATAAAATTGTATGACCAAGTTCTGTGTTAAAAAGAAATCTTGGATGTTTAGTGAATAAAATGATAAAAGAATGCAATTGGCACAACTAAATTAGTTGTAAAAGAATGTATAAAATTGCGTGAGCAAGTCCTCTATTAAAGAAAACTTTGGAGGTCTTGTAAATTCAATATAAAAGGGTTCAATATTTAAAGACACGATTTTTGCTAACAGTTACGCTTTGGGTTCTGCTAAAGTGAATGAGCCGTCCTTCGCCAGCGTGGACGAGATTGTGATGTTCTACACAAGGGAAGAGCTGGTACTCCACGGTGGAGGAGAATTGGGTAGAACAAAGTTAACTGATACGCCCCCGAAATAAATAAACAAATAAATTTCGTTGGAAGCCTCCTTCAATCGAAATGAAAGGAGCCTAAGAACAAAATCGTTGTGTACCACTTAAAATCGTCTATTGCAATGCAAATAGTGCCTAGGAATTCTAAAATAGGTTCCATTTTACTTATTATAGAATTTTTGATACGCATATCAAGCTCATGAAGTGCCTTTTTATCTACGAGAAATTTGTGCACCGCGAGAGAAACTTAATTTTGTATAATTTTTGTGTACTTTATATGTCTACAAAGTTCTGAGGCACTTGTATACACGTATATGTAATTAGATGTGTTTAGTACATGGAGGAAGAGGATCTCTTATAAAATGGACTTGTATATTTTTAATAAAGTACTATACGATTTTTACATTTTTACGATAATTAGACTATACGATTCTCTTAAATAGCTATATTATTATACGCTTATCGGTGTACGATCTATTATCTCACACATTCTTTTCAAATAAGATAACGACAACAAATTAAAAAGTTTTACTATGTAAATAAAATGGTACCAAATGCTGAAAGGAAGGGGAATCCATCGGTATCTTAAGAAAAGGTAGAGGATTTCAAACTTCAGTATAGGCGGCGGAAAAAGGGTGGTCGTAGGAAAGAGACGGAAAATATTTCCGGAAAGAATGTGTGGAAGCGGAGAGGCCAGAAGGATGGCAGGAAGTAAGTAATAAAGATGATACATTAGGAAACTAAACGAAAGGGGAAGCGAGGATGAGAAAAGTTGAAAATAGGAGAAAAAGAGAGTGTGAGTGGAACAAAGCGAATGAATGAGAGTGACCGGAAGGTATGGTTCAGGATAAAGAAGAGTCCCTTCAATTGATCCTCCCCTCATCCCCCCTGACCGATGGTACAGAAGGAAAAATTGGGGTAGTTTAAGGTGGATTAAGTGAACGAAGTTGGAGTAACAAATTAGTGTGAGAACGGACTTGTAATTCCAAGGGAATTCAATAAAATATGAAAATTTAAATAAAAATTGCTTTAGTTCGTAAAGAATGTATAATTAAATCAAAATGTATTGATATTTCAGATCATTTAAAAATCGTTTATATTTATTTTAATTTATCAGAAAAGATTTTTTTTATTTGAAAAATAGTGACATCAATTCCTAAATGGATGCAGTCTACTACTGGCTGCCATTTAGCCACCATATTTACAAATCAGTGCTTCTAAAAATACATTAATAAAAGAAATATATCTATAACGACAGTTGCGTCGTTTACTCGATCGTTCATCAATTACCAATACAGTCGAAAAATTATGAATATGAATATCAAGGGACACGCAATTTCTTCGATAATATTTTATCTGTGTTTTCAATAATTTATAGCGATAACACCATTTAGGTAAACACTTCTACGATCAAGGTTCCGGCACTCGAAATTCAACCGCAGTTACGTGTTATACCATATCTCCATACGTGATTACACGGAGTTCTCGTTTCTCTTAATCGTCACACGGTGAAGCTGTGTGTGTTTGAACTTTGAACTGGTTATTCAACAATTGCAAGACAATTACGATGATCAAGATGCACGACGTTCCATGCATTTGATATTCCACGATAAGAACGTTCAATATCGAATCTCTATCTTGGAAAGCTTATATATTAACATATCGTGATAAAAGAAATATCACACAATTTTGTAATTCAAGAAGTGGAAATAATATATTCAGAAGATTACACGGCACAATTTATTTTGAATTTTTGAAACATGCGCCATAAAAAATTTTTCAAAATACATAAATATCTTGTGCACGGAAAAAATACAATTTTCAAACATTAATATCTACATTTAAACTGTTCGAAAGACGAAAATGTAGAAGTAGTTAAATTTGTAACATTACCTTATGTGAGCTGCTAGTACATTAAAAAATGAGTTTGAATTGAATAAAATTATTTGAAACAGTGGCAAGTTTCGAGCGCAATACTCACAGCTGAAATAATTCCCTAGATTGTCAGTTAGTTTCTTTGGTTATGTTCCGTTGTTGGCGTAACGTGGTGGGAGGCTGTTAACGACGAAAAACACGACAAGTTTGTGCGCACCGCCCCGTTAACTGTTTGTGACTGAACGTCAATTGAGCGGTTCATTTAGCTTGTCAGTTGAGGCTTTTGACACAGAATCTCGTGGATCCGGGGCGTTGTACCGAAAATGATATTGAAATTGTAAACAGTTGTGATAGGGTTGTTCCACTGTGGTCCGGGCTGCGTGATAAACAAACTGTTAACATGAGTCAGCGTAGACGGTGCAATGTGATTTTAAGCGGGAATAATGGTGCGTTAGATAAGAAGTGTTAATCGCTCGGAAAATCGTTTTGGAGAGCAATGGAAGATGAACAACCGGCGAGGGAGGCGAACAAGATCTGTGGTGTCTGCGGAGACCGTGCTCTTGGTTATAACTTCAACGCGGTGTCATGCGAAAGCTGCAAGGCTTTTTTCCGTAGAAACGCTTTGAAAAATAAGGTGACTAGTTTCAAAGTCTTTCCACCGATTCTACAGAATCCCTCATAATTGCCGATACAATTCAACCGTTCAATCGATAACGAGTCAAAGTGGCATCGTATACTATATTTTTGGCGCAGCCCGATGCATTAATTTGACGTTCCCTATTTTTCTCTTTTTGTCAACACGAATCAGACGTTACGGAGAAAGTGACGTCGCTACGAGAGCCAAATTTGAATTTTCAAAAGTGATAGGAAACAATTTCAAACACTTTTCAGTGAACATTCTTCGTTTCTTAGGATTGTTGAACACACGTAAATGCAATATTTGTGTGTAATTTTAAAAAAAGATGTAGTTCAATAGTAATAGAAAAGAAACAAATATATTTGTTGAAAACGACGTGAGATTCATTTGAGTACTAATTATAAAAATAATACTACACTTTTCTAGTATGTTCCTTCTTTAATCTGCTGTTATTTGAATGTTTAATACATTTTTGCAGGATTTTCGGTGCCCCTTTAAAGAGAATTGTGATATTACGCCAGTGACAAGACGTTTTTGTCAAAAATGCCGTCTAGACAAATGCTTCAGTATTGGCATGAGAAAGGAGTATATAATGTCAGAGGAGGACAAGGTACTAAAAAGACAAAAGATAGAACAAAATCGTGCAAAGAAAAGGCCACCTGTGGAAAGCACAAAGGCGTCCAAGAGTAAGAAAAGTTGCATTGAAGATTGCAATTTCGAGGATACTTCTATGTCTGTTAATTCAGTTGCATCAACTGTGTCTGATACATATTTTTGGGAGTCTGATAGGAAATATACTGATTTAGATGCAAATAGGCAGAATGTAGCAGAAAGTATGAGCCCGGTAACGGCTGCTAGCGTTCCAAGTCCTTCTAGTCCACCACAAAATGGAATCATAACCGGGTCGAAGACTCTTGACATGATGAAAGATTCTTCTCATAGTTCTAGTTCCAATTATGACAGTTATGATCAGTCTTCCCACCATGAGGAAAATGATATTGATATGGAAAAATTTAAAATCGATACTAGTCCCCTCACACAGAATGAACAAAGGTTTGACAAAGTGAAACCAATAACTCATAATATAGAAAAGAACAAAAAGCTTGTTACATGCTCCGGGAAGTTTGAGCAACATGTATTGGACTTGAACTCTGAGTTTGGCTCGAATAACAACGAATCTGTAAAATATTCACCCGAATTTATCAATACGTCTGATTACAACAAGTACGGACGTAGCCCTGTACAAAACTCTATATATTCGGATCACGAATCACATCCGAAAAAGCAAAATTTCGATCTACATCCAGGTACACCCGTGAATTTGCATTCTTGTCCAGAAGAACAAACAATATGTGAAAAACCAGGAAAAGAAACGTGTTCAAAAGAAAACGATGTAGTCACAAAGTTCTCTGATGAACCAGTTCCAGTCTCAGTGCTTGTTAATAATTCTAATTTTATTGCCAAGTTACTGCAAAATCAGGACATACTTCTGAAAATTATGACAGATTCTGCTGTTGTTAACAAACTGAAAGAGGATCCACAGATTTGTGAGTTCCTCAAAGAAAACAGTCCAATCGTTGAAAGAAAACCAGGAGCTGAACACAATGTAGAAATTCAGTATAAAGAAGACTCAAAGTTCACCAATATTTCAGGTCATGTATTTGAGCAATCTATTAAGGTGAAAGAGAAGCACGTCGAGAATCCGATCTTAACGGATCTAATTACAAATTCCAATCAAGAAGAATGTGTAAAACAACACATGGAATCCGGAGGCAATGACTGGAACAAAAATGTAACAGATGTTACGAGGGATGTACTCCAAGATGTACAAAGGTATAGATGCGGTATACTATCAATATTATAAAACATGTCAACTGCTGATTTCTTTTCAGAGTACCAATTGTTGCAAACTCCATTGAATCTATTCTTTGTGAGGCAATCAAATTAGAGTTTTCAGCATATTCTGCTCTTGGAGGTATGGAGTCCAGAAGGGAATTGAACGATGCTGAAAGAGCAAAGTTGAATGAATTAATAGTAGCTAATAAAGCATTGTTAGCTCCTCTAGATGAGGATATAACAAATTTAATTGAGGAAGATTGTAAATTTAAGGTAACATTTACAGCAATTCAACATTGACTCCGATTTCTATTTGATAACACTAAATCTGTTTGCAGAGTAACTTTGGTCAGTCCGATCCAGCATTACTAGATGTTATAAATTTAACTGCCATTGCCATTAGACGTTTAATTAAAATGGCCAAAAAGATCAACGCTTTTAAAAACATGTGTCAAGAAGACCAAATAGCCCTTTTGAAAGGGGGCTGTACGGAGATGATGATTTTAAGGTCCGCCATTAATTACGATGCCGAAAAAGATACGTGGTGGATACCACATAGCCAAGAGAGCATGTCGAACATAAAGGTCGACGTGTTGAAAGAAGCGAAGGGAAATCTTTACGCCGAGCATGCACGATTTATAAGAAGCTTCGATCCAAGATGGCGAGATGAAAACATTATTTTAATTTTAAGTGCAATCTCCTTGTTCACGCCTGATAGACCGAAAGTGGTGCACAATGACGTCATTAAACTGGAACAAGTAAGCGAAATGCATTTCCATCTGATGCAATGATCTCGATTGACTTTAATCACGCGTTTTCTGTTTATAGAATTCGTATTATTACTTGCTTAGACGTTACCTGGAGAGCGTATACCCAGGCTGCGAGGCAAAGTCCATGTTTTTGAAATTGATTCAGAAAATATCTGATCTTCACAGACTGAATAATGAAGTTGTCGGAGTTTATCTTAATTTAAATCCATCCAGAGTGGAGCCACTTCTCATAGAGATATTTGACTTGAAACATTGATCAATTTATTTATTCTCTCAATCTGATGAACAGGCAAACTAATTAGTTTTCTTGATCGTTTTTTTGCGGCTACTTCATTCTACATAAATACAAAACCATCACAATTGTTTTAGTAATTATATGTTTGTAGAAATAACATACAGCAATAATTTAAATGTATAAAGAAAAGATAAGTAACGTAAAAATGATAAATTATTCGATATTAGAATATCGTATTGCAAATATATATGTATACACAGATTATGTACATACATATAGACATGGTTATAAAGTGTACTAGTATATACGATTAATGTTGATGCTTAAAATTTAAAATGAAACTACTCTTTATCAAATTTTACATGTATATGGACGTATATCTAAGAAGAAAATGTC